CCTCACTCCTTTCCTTTTTTGTATCCCGTCTTACTCCTTTCCTTTTGTGTTTCTTGCGTGATGGGAGTCTATTTATATGTTTGTTTGCTTGAATTAGGGTTATGTTTTGGTGTGTTTCTCTTTCATATTTCATCATGAAGTCTTTTTCCCCTTGCTTGGGTTGTATCCAATGACAGGTGGTGCACGACTGTATTATGCTCCGAGGTGTTGTTGTATCCTCTCCGAATATATTTCTCTTCTTTTCCCTTATCTCCTTTACCCTCCGACCTGCTTCTGCAATCTACTATCTACCCTTGATGCCTCTTTCTCTGCTGCACGCCTGCTGTCCCACCTCTCCAGCTGCCCAACCCGCACACAGCCACCCTCTATAGAACCTTCTTGAATTGGCTCCAACTCTCCTACCACTTTCCCCCACTGCCGTGACCCTTTCCTGCAGCCCCCAGCTGTTGTCTCCGCCTTCTTTTTCTTCCCTATGATTGCCGTCAGCCTTTTCCCCTACCACTAGTGCTCCCAACCACCTCACCAAAACCATCATTGCCCTAGATATTTTCTTCTGACCCGAGATGGGGATTAGTTTTTGTTACTATTTGGTTTTAGTTTTGAGTCTTGTTTGTAATCCTAATCATTTGCTTAATAAAAGTTGCTTCCGTTACCGTTGGTTTGATTAGTTTCGGTATCATAATCATAGTCATAAATCTAGTAAAAAAAATAAAAAAATAAGAGCCCAAATATCATCAATTTTAACAATGATTCAGCCATGTATCTAGCATTTAATGATGGCATCTAGTTGATGGTTCTGTACTTAAACAAATATTTATTGATTTTGTGGCACAAATATGTTTAAATTAAATGAAATTTCTTAGCATTTAGTTGCATTGCTAACACCAATTTGAATGGTTTTATTTCTGTTAAAGATGGACAATAACAATACATCTGTTATCAAATTTTATGCAACCTCATTGTATTCATAATTAATCAGATTTCTTGCATATGTAATATTATCTAATAGATCAACATTAATATCTTAATCATTCATATTTGAATTTAATATTATTAGAGCTAATTATGTAGAGGAGAATGATAAGCAAGTATATGCTATGTTCTCTTTTTCAACTTACATTGGTGGATCACTTTGCGTACATGGATACGGGAATTTGAGTAGCTCATTTTGGTTTTAGGTTTTGAATTGACTGCTATATGGCCAATGAAGATGTTTGAAGGCTCCGTTGAGATGGCGGAATTAGAAAATGAATCACCTTTTGACGCTGAGAAGTGGCTTCTTCTTCCTCTTATATCGCAAAATATGTAAGGATCTTATACCAAACTGATATTATTAGAAATGAGAATTTATGTAATTTTGTTATCTCATTTTTTGCTATAGTTAATTGCTGATATATTGTTACATTTTACTTCTTCCAGCCCACGTTCTGGTAATAATTAAAAATCCAAGATTAAATAAATCTCTTATTTTATCAATTAAAGCGGAATTTTTATTTTGTGGAGCTTTCATCGTTTTTAGAGTTATATCTTATGCTGTTGGCAAAATTAACATTTTCAGATTTTGAATTTAAGTTATACTTTCCTTTTTACAACACAGAAGTAGAGCTGACAGTTGAGTTACTAGATTTATTTTTCTATTCTTTTAAATAAGCTGGAAGGACTAGATATTGTCATCAGTGTATGAACAAATCTCGTTTCACGTTGGTCTTTCTTTGGCTTGTCTTTGTTGTAATCTACTGTTTTTTAACATGATAAAATATTGATTTTTTTTCTTGAGGCATGTTAATTAAGTAGAGAGAGATTAGTTATAAGTTGTTTCATATCTATGCTTCTCTAGCTGAGGAGTTTGAGTCAGACATATAAACCCTTTTTTGAATGTTTTATATTAATATGTGGTAAAATATATTATTATCTGTCAAGGAGAGTTGATGATACAACAATAAGTTGAGTAGTTAAACTTAATATAGAAGGTTTAGGAAAGAAAGCAAGCAGATTAAAAATTAGATACCTAGAAATTAGAACATGCATGCAAAGATAGAGTTGACACTTCTTGTGGCACTTAACATGAATAAGTGGAAAGAAGGATTGATAATATGAGCTCAATAAGGGCCCGTTTGGGGGCGCTTATTTGGTGCGGCGGCATTTTCACATATTTGTTTAATGTGTTCGAGCGGCGTTTTCGTAACGCCGCCGTTATTTCATTAATATACGCGGCCATGGTATCGACCCTGTGGCCCACATTTGTTAGTTCGTTTTACATGGGCACCCTTTCTCTCGTTTGCCCTAACGCGATCCCACATCCTTCGCCTTTCGAGCTCTCGTGTTCGATTCGACTCCTCATTGCTCTATCACCTCTCATCTGCCTTAAATCCTCCCTAAGCCCTCTCTGAACGGTTGATCTGTAAGTATTGAATGAAATGATTTTCATTAGTTGATGTTCCTTCAGTTAGATTTCGTTAGTGGGTTTTCCTTGGGTAATGTTGGGCTTTCGATTGTTTTGTTGTATGGAATTTTCTCTTTTTTCGAATGAGTTTGGCATTTCAGTATGTTCATTCTCCTCTTCTCAGATTCTTCACCCCAATTCTTCAGGATTTATAATTTTATGACTTGGCATTTCTGTCTTGGCATTTCAATATGTTTCTTTGGTTGGAATTGCCAAGATAGCAAGATATGCTTGCAGTGCAATTGTACTTGGAGGAAGTATGTTGGAATGAGTTGTTCTTGTTGGATGGTTGCAGTGCAGTTTGGAGTTGTGTTTGTTCTTAAGTTTTTATATTTAAAGCTTGTTATTATGGCACCAACGTGTGTTTCTGGAATTCTGTGACTCACTTGCTGTCCATATGTGTTTCGATCTATCTATTTAAATAATTTCTGTGTCGAAGCATGAATTGGGGGCAGAGTTTTAGGTGTTTCATCTGTAAATGCATAATAATTGGTTGATATGTATGTAAAGCTGTTGCATATGATTGCAAGTGTTAGACATGCAAATTTGAGTTTTAGGTGTAAATGCATAAGAGTTTTATGTGTAAATGCATAAGAGTTTTAGGTGCTTCTTTTTAATTTTTCTAGTCTACCCGAGTGCTTGTTTTGAAATAAACATTTTAATAATTTTAATTGTATTTGTAATTGTCTTTATTTTATCATTTTTGATACTCACGCGTAAGTGAGGACTATATCTTATTTTTTTAAACTGTTCTGTATTGGTTTTCTGCTTCTGTTGTATCAATTATATTGCTCAGATAGTTCTGTTGCAAACAATATTACTTAACAGGAGCAGAATGATCATTTATTCAGAAACAACTGCAGTTAAGTTGTTGTGAATAAGCTCCTCCAAACAACTAGCCAACTTATCATGACAATCTGAAGATTATCAGGATACTATACAAATAAGCAGATTATAAATAATCTGCAGCTGCCCCAAACAGACCCTAAGTTGATGATGGTTAACAATAATGGCGTCGTATAAAGAGGCTGTCTAACTTAATATTCTTTCTGACTTGATTCGCCAAACATTATAAAAATGACAACTGATTGATGTAGTATTGTGCAAGTCTAGTTCTTAAGGCATTGTCACACGAGATATTTTATAAATGCCTTTACTGCATTCAAAATCACATAACTGTGCCTCACTTAGCAAAATGGGTTGTGCTGGTGAGTCTGAAACATCACAATAATCCAAAAGGGCACTTCTATTGCATAGGTCGCTGTACAAAGGGGAAAATGAGGAATTCACCGGCTTGCAAGGCAACTTCATGAGATTGACATACGAGAATGACAATGAATTGCATGAGTTGGCATAAATTAACCGTCTCGTTTTCATATATCTGATTTAAAAAAAAAATCCCTGCTGAAGCCCATGCTTTGTGCCAATGCCATTCCTTTCCTCACTCCCACATGCAACTCATGTCGCACCTCTACCTTTACAATGCTGGACATTTGGCTTAATAAAAAATAATTTAAAAAAAAGCCAAAGAAAAGAAAACTAAAACCATTGGGTCATCCCTCTATACCTCTCTCTCTCGCTCTCGCTCCTACCCTCAATGGAAAAAATGCGAGGATGCCTTGCTAGTGAAAAGCATCTTACAAACCAAAATTTTTTGAGGGAGCTCAATTTTTAACGCATTGAAAGAACTGGCAGTGTGAAGAGAAGAAGAGTTTAAAAGATGCGGCTTTCACCTTCCTCTTTGGCTTCCAGCAAACTTCATGAAATGCTTGACGATGATAGAAGCAAGGTAGTTGCATGAAGAGCTTGCTTATGACGGCATTGATGAGACCTATGCCATGCAATGGGAAAGCTATGAGAAAAATTTGCTTGACAAAGGCAACAACGGGGCCGACATCATGTAATGGGCAAGAAGAGTTTGTGGACCAAAAGGTTTAAGTTAAATTCGTTTGATGCTTGGTTCCATTGAATTTGAGATTCTAAGAAGGAGAAAGGATATTCAAGATTATAAGGGATTTAAAGTTGTTATTTTTGCTGTTTAACAGATTTTCTCACCTCAAATCGCAAACGACCTCTTTCTAGCTCACTGTCAAACACATCGATAGGATCATTGAATGCAAAGGGTAAAAGTTAGGATTTTCATTATGATTTAAAGTTTTTATTTTTTGTTTTTTTAATGAAATTTAAGTTAAAATCCTGCTTCAATGCTATTTGAATCTTGCTACCAAATAACTTCTCTATATCTCTTTCTGTGCCCCTTTCTTTTTCTTCATTTCTTCGTTTTCTCCTATATTTCAATCTTTTTCACCCTTTCCTCTCTTTGTTAAAAAAATCCATAAAAGAAAAAAAGAAGATAGAAGAAGAAGAGAAGAATATAAAAAAGAGAGTTGAACGTGTATTTGGCTTCATGTACATTTGCAGCCTTGTCTCATCGTTGACAGCACCCCATGCACAAAAGTATAATATAATGCAGCTTCTCACATTGCCAAATTTTAAATACTCATGCTGTTGTTTCCATGTAGTGAGAAGAAATTGTTGCATGCTTGCATATTTTTAGTGCAGGTGACCAGCGCACAATCTTCATGGCGGGGTGGAGAGAAAAGTCATGCTTGCCTTATTTGGCATGGCGGGGAAAGACTCGTGCACTTCTTTCTTTACGCGATGGAAAAAAGATATATGTTGCACAGGTAGAATGACCAATATTTGTTTTCTGTCTTGGTGAGATAGAAGACTCAGTCTTGATTTCTTATCCACGCACAACTTTCTTGTCTAAGTAGGTAGGCCTAACACTCCCTCTATACAGGAGAGATCTTGGGAGCATGCAAAAATTTGAGTGACCATGCTTTAAAAAAAAGGACTCAATTGACTTTTGGACCCAACAACATGACTAAAATAAAAAAAGAAACTCGCAAAGAATATTAAATAAACACTGTTAATGATATACAAGTTATGGTGGAAGAAATGAAGAGAATCACATTAGAGCTCATAATTTGAACTTGAATTAGTCTTAACTTGATGGCTCGCTTATGTGTAGAATTAGACCCTCCCTGCCATTGCTAAGAACCTTACACCCAATGGACTGAATAAGATTGACTGTGAAATGAACTCAGGAATGCTTTATTTATTAGCTGAAGAGGTGTTTCTCATGGGGTCCATTTGAATAAAACATGGGCTAAATGCAAGTGAACTAATATTATTTCTAACAAACATTACACCCTAACTTGCTATATTTAATTCCAAATTCATAAACTAGCACACGCAAAGGGACATAATTCAACCAATGATGAACTCAGAATTGCAAATTCACATGCACTTGAATTAGACTTACATGGAACTTAACGGCTCGTCTATGTGTAGAATTAGACCCTCCCTGCCATTACTAAGAACCTTACACCCAATGGACTGAATATGAACTTAGGAATGCCTTTATTTATACGGTGAAGAGACGTCCCTTATGGGGTCCATTTTAATAAAACATGGGTTAAATGCAAGTGAACTAATATTATTTCTAACACACATTAAACCCTGACTTGCAATATTTAAAACCAAATTCACAAACTAACACTCATAAAAGGACATGATGCAACCAATGATGAACTCAAAAGTGCAAAATCACATGTACATTTCAATGATAGAGAATTCATTTGAACGACTGCCACATCAATTCGTAACTTATCTCAAATAACTTATCTCAACCCTCCCTTTCCTATTTCTCCTTGCCGTAACATGCCGCCAACCCTCCCCTTCATATTTCTCCTTGTGGTAATAGTTTGGGTCCATGCGTACTGTCCTTTATTGTTTGTGTTGGTTGTAATTTATTTCTTGTTTACAAGAGTCTTGTTTGTAACCAATTTGAATTTTAGCAATAAAATTTGCATTTCTATTGTAGTTTGGGTTAAATCCGGTATCAGATACTCTTAAATGAGATGCGCTACCTATATGATTGGGTCATAAATCTCACTCGTACCTCATAAGGATAATAGTTGACCTGACTTCAATCTTTTGAGAAGCATCTTACTAATCAATTTGAAGCAAGTTATAATTAGAGAATGATTTCAATTCATCTCTCGATGCAATTAAGTAAATTTATATTCAAATCTTTAATCGTGGCTCTTACAAGGTTATTTTTGTATGTTATTTGTACAAGGCTCTCAAGGCTTGTTACAAAGAAAATTCATTTCCAAAATGTAAACTTTTTGCATTACATAATTACAAATTCTGATCTCCATACAAGGTAATCTACATATGATGTAAGAGTTGACGAGGTAAATGCTATAATAAATATCCAAGCGGTTTAAATTTATATGCAAAATTATGGACCCGATCCTCTACATATTGGGTAAAGTCGACAAAGTATGAGATGCAATGATCATTTAAACGAACTACAATAATGTTCAATTGTGAATTTGATCCTCCAAAGGCAAACAAGCAGACTTGACAAAGTGTAAAGTAACAAACTTTTATCAATTTACCCCTATTATGAGTATGGTTATTAGAAATCATAATCGAAAGAGTTTACTTTCAAAAACAAGTTTCAGTGTATCATTTTCAAAGATAAGTATTTTATACATTAATTCACCTCAATGATGACAATATAGAAAATCGTTAAATTCCTCAAATTTCAATTCAAAAAATCGTTAAATGCCTCAAATTTCAATTCAAATTATTTTGAGTCAAAGCTCTGATAGAGAAACAAAATAAATAAATAAATAAATAAAATAAAATAAAATTCAAAGCACTTGTTGCTTAATTGTAAAGAGCAATAATCTATTCATATTCTACATCACTTTTTTAAAGGTGAAAATTTAAGATGGTTTAAGCTCATAAAAAGCCAATATTATTTTATGTGTATCTCTACAAGCACTCTCAAAGATCTCTTGTTAGTAAAAACATGAAATGTGTCTTTTGATAGAGTGATTTCACCATCTTATGAGATCACAAAGCTTTGTTTATTATTAGGGATGATGGCTAAGTGGTTTGTCAGAAAATGCCATCTTTAGATTATTTTCACGACAAATGCCTACAAATCTTCTAAAAGGCCAATTTCTTCGAGTTTTGAATTGTGGAGTGCTTTTGATAGGATATGAAGCCTTTTGTTTGTTAAGATTAATTTTAAATTCTCTATTCAGACAAACTTAAATTCCAAGTTTATAAGACATTTTTAGTTGATGTAAACCATGGCCATTGACAAGAAAATTTCGATAAAATTGTGTCAACTGCCTCCTTTGATTAAGAAGACCAATATCTATGATTATTTGAAATGGTAACTACAAAATTCAGGTTTGTCATCATCCCCCACCAATATATTTCCTCCATTTTAAACTAGTTCATTGCTACTATAATCTAAGCATTTAATGCCTAATGATTACGATTGATCGACACTCTATTGATCGACACTCTATTGCTACTATAATCTTAAACTTGCATCCATGGTAAGCCTAGAATCAAGTCACAAAGTCCTCATAAAATAAGACAAAAATCTCTGGATAGTATCTTTTCTAAATTCAATTTACATTCTAAAAATTTGACTCCGACGAATGTCTCTCTTAGAAGAGCCATACATGAATTTTTGGAGCTCGTAAATTAGGAATGCAATTCTTCAAGTACTTGTTAAATAACATGAGCTTTCCATTTTGTAATTTTGGAGTTTTGTGAATGCGGAGTTAGGTCTTAATTAAGTTTGTTTTGGCATTGTTCATTAATTTTCACAATTCAAATGGAGGATGTATTGATGGAGTTCCGCTTCTATGAATATGATGTCCTTAAGAAGTCCTAAATTTCTTTTACTGCTAAGATGTGGATAAAAAAACTTGCATTTACAAGAAAAAGGTGGGTTATTAATTTATTTTATGGTTTTGAAGGATTTTTCCATAGTTATCTTTTGGTTTTTTGGGACATTTACATACATACCACACAATTATTACGTAGTTACATATTTAACACGAAATTTCATACTTACATGTACAATACTCAAATCTTTAACATCACATAAAAAATACTGTTTAGCTGGCGTGCACGACACTGTCCTCTTCATGCTCCATTAAGTCGACGCTGAGCCCCCCATTAAATTTGAATACTTAAGTTAGGCGTAAGACTAAAATTGCAACTTCTTCATCTGTTAGTTATTATTGTGGGGTATAAATATGACTAATATGTTTAGAGTTAGGTTATGCATGTGTGGTTGTTTTCTTGAATGAGATAATCTACTTATTGAATTGTAGGTTTTAATCTTTTATGTATTTGGGTTGCGTTTTTTGGTGTTGGTGCAGTAAAGTATTTTGTTTTGCCCTAATTTCTGTGAAAGTTCCCATCAAATTGGTATCAGGGCAATGTCTTGGAAGTAATGAGAATACATTCGTGATTCGAGCTAGTTGGCAAGCCAATGACAAAATCACAACGTACAAAGTTCAACCTTTGTGACCAAACCTCGCGATACAGTCTTCATTCAAGCTGCTAGGAAGTCAACAACGGGATTGCGACGTATAGAATTTGTTTTCATGACTGAAGCTCGCGGTACAATCATGATTTGAACGAGCCAGGAAGCTTATGACGCGATCACAACAAACAAGATCCGTCGTTGCCAAAGAGGGGATTGCGATACATTCCAAATTGACGAGACCGTATTCGTGATCGAACCTCGCGATACAGTGGGCCTTTGTGACCAAACCTCGCGATATAGTTGCGAGCCGAGCTAACTGGGAAGCCAATTACGGGATTGGGCGCAGAGGAGTTTATGATCAGAAAGTCAAATGACAAAATTGGAAGGTGTATTCCTATAACAATGATAAGGACAACAAAGTAGGTTACTCTTGAACCATTTGCAATAAAAATCATATAATCAACAAAGTTGGAAATATGAAATCCAAGTTTCAGTCAAGCAAGTATACTTACCACATTCAAATCGTCCAAAAGTATGCAAGAGTAACTTGATTCGATATGTGCTCTTATTTGGATGAGAAAAAAGCTTAAATTTGTTGGCAAAATGGTGTTGGGTTTTATAAAAGGTGGTGGCAGTGGTAAAGTTAAGCAGTATCAAATTATAGAGATAGATTTGAATTGTTGAATAAGTACAAAGGAAAATGTGGGTGGCTAATGTGGCTAACCTTGAAGAATGGGAACCAATTTTATGCTATTTTAGGTAAGTATGATTACGCATGAGCTTGGCAAATTGAGTTTTGGGTTTAATTCCAGTTGAAGTAAGACAATGAGGAGAAGTGATTGTTTGACATATGAAGAGGTGATTTTTGGAAGGTCATAGGCATCACCCTATGGTTTCTCAGAATCCAAAGAAAAATAATGCATCCTGCTTTATAATAAAATTCATTATTGTCCATCATATAAATGATGTATCACAAAATATATCAAGTGTTCTTTGTATCGGTGTATCTGGCTTCAAACTAAAGAAATCCTCCAACAAAATGAACCAATACAACTAGGGAAATTTATATACGGAGCACACAATTCTTATGTGTTTACATATGTCACTCCTAAACTTTCATTTACATCCATAGCATAGCACTTTGGTGCTTTAAACTTATGTATGAAAAAGTATATTTCACTTTAAAAAAGTGGTAATAGTGCTATTTTTGATGTGATATTAAAGAATTGAGCGCTATGTGTGTAAATATGAAAGGTTAGGTGTGAGATATCTAAATAAATCAGAACTGTGTGCTATATAAATGCCCCATACAACAAACAGATTCTCTACAAAACAAAGAAAATAAGGCCTAGGTTCTATATGATTTGGAATTATGGATTCTTTATTCTTGAGCTTTTCAATCTCTGTATGAGAAGACTACCTTGCAATCTCTAAAATTCTTTTCACTTTTTGGTATTACAGGATTGATGATTCTATTGGCAAGTCTGGATTTGCCTTACAGCTAAGCCTTTTGATATCTGCACTGGATAAGTCATTTGAAGCCAAATATTTGGAAGATTTTGTTTCAGGTTACCTGAATATTCGTAATCTTATTTGTCATTTGTAAATTTGGTAAAGGTTCACTTCCTATTTATTGATCTTTGTGCTAGACAGCTGAGAACTCTGGCTCCGATATTTCCAAGACTTTAGATTTTATACCTCCTCCAGCAGTGGTAGATCGCATACTTAAAGAGATTTTCCATGATGGTATTATCTCAGTTTTAAGCTTAATTTAATCACTGTTGCTGCTTCTGTTTTTGATTGTGATGATCAATTATTATAATAACTGTATGCATTGCCGTTTTAATTTAATGGAGATTGCGTAAAGTTTGTCTTTATGCAAAGATTAGTCAGTAAAAATAATTTCCTCTTGTAAATTCTGTCAAGTTATGAACTTTTTGACTTACCCTCCGGAGGGGTTCAGAGTATTTTTTTTTTTCCTGTGCTTTGTTACTATACAGATTCCCGATTGAATAAATTCACATGTAGGAGTTGAAAGTTGGAATCATATGGATTTCGAGGGCAGAAACTCTCGTTTTATCAAAGGTGCTCCTCTAGGTTCTCTATTTGCTCAATTCTGTCTGCATGCATTGTGGCTTGGGAATTGCAACATCAGAGGTTTGTATTTAAGTTTTCTCCTTTCTTTTTCAGGTACCGCTTTTATAAGCTAATGAAGTAGATCTGTTCTGTTGGATCTTAGAATGCTTGCTTGAATATGAATTTTTTTATTATAAGATCTATTTTTTATATTATTGCATCCGACGCTTCTTGATTTATTGTGCAGCAATTGCTACTCTGTGGATTGAATTTGTGAGAGAAGTCCGTTGGTGTTGGGAGGAGTCGCAACCATTGCCAAAAATGTCAGCTTCCTCCAATATTGACCTGACCACATGTTTGGTGCATCAGAAACTGCAGATGGTACTGTTTTTTTTTCCTACTTCTGTGCAATTTTTAACAGTTTTACGGGATAGTGGATCTGCTGATATTTAGGAAGCGTAGTCAAAGTTTGATTTGTGATAGGTTCGTAAATGCTTGGGTTTGGAATGGGTTGATCTTGGCCTTTATTATAATACAATCTAATAAACTAGTTGGATAGTATTCACCATAGGAATAGGATTATTTTAGAAATAGAATCCAGGATCTTAATCCGAAGGTAGAAGTTCATCATAGGCATGTATGTACTAACTTTATAGCTTAATTACATTTCAAAGTATAGAATAAAAAATACAATATTTAATTTAAAATATTAAATATAATGCAAATACGTGCTCCAAACAACTAGGGACATGTCACTAGTATGAGGGCATATTTTGGTGGAGTTAGTGTCAAGGTTCAAAATTACGCAATTAATTACTAACATATTATTTGTTCGGGAGGCATAACCGTCAAAATTATTAAATTGTGCTAAGAAACATTGCACTAATATCAAAGTTTAACGTGACAATCCTATTAACTTATTGAATAATAACATATTAAATCTTAAGTCCTAAAATAGTAAGAAGTAAAAAACTATGCAACAGAAAAGAAATTTTAACATCACATCATAAACTGTGAACTGCTACACGAACTTTAAAGTAGGATGTGATATTAAATAGATCCTTTATGACACCCAAAAAAATCCACACAACTGATTAGCGTCAGTTTAGTTGGCACTAGTCGGTTCATATATCAATTAGTTTCTTAAATATATGTATATATAAGATCTTTAATTATTAACATTTTTTAAACTAAAATATAATTCAATATGTTCTCGACAATCTTTAAACATTAAATTATTAGGTGAATTTTATTGCTATCATTATAATTCCTAAATTTAATATTATTAATTTAATTAAGTTTTTAAAATTTTATGTCATTACATTGAATGTGCTCAAAATTATTCAAACTTTAGGGCTAATAGGGCTAGTAGATAGCCACTGATCCATGGGTTAAATTGGTGAAACCTTTGCTCTGGACTAGGGTTAGACCCAAGCCAAAGGATTTTTGACCCCTAAGGTCTTCACCAAGGGTTAGGATAGTCACACGGATAGTGGGTGGCATCGAGGGAGCAATTCATATTTTTGTGATTTTTAATTAATTTTAATTAATAAAATTCTTAAAATGAGAATCTTAAAGTTTCATGAGCATTGTATATATCCCCACATAAGGCTAACATACCAAAATTTCGAAATTGTCTGATTTGAGGAAGAAAATTATTTGAAGATTTAACATGATTATCACAGCTTACTGATTTCACAATTATTGTTTGATATTTTTCCTAGATTCTAAATCTTTTAGGAAAAAATAAAACACCTAGATCATAACATTTGGACACTAAATGAAATGACAGCAGGCACTTGAAGACCCCAACCCATGATTAATATTCTGCATTCACAAGTACATTATTATGTTGTATTTTCTTCACTATGTAACGTTACTGTTTTGGCATGCTAACTGTAAAATTTTTGTTGTCGTTTGAAGTTGGCAATATGTATTGAAAAGAAGAATTTGATCGTTCATGAACATCAAAATGGTGTTGAACGTGAAGACAGTGTTTCTAATATTCACAAGGTGCTACTATTTTACTTCTTGTTACATATGATTATTCCCTTAAATTTTTGTACCGACTGCACATGCAACTTTTGCATTTCGGCGTTTTTACTATGAGTATGAAATGTTAATATGGAGGCTAATGCTATGATTTTTACTAAACAGGTTGATTTGCATGATCCATGTGATCAATCTCATGATATGATTCCTAAAGATTCTCTTGATAATAGCAGGTGAACTAAAGATATTAATTTACTGTTATCATGGAATTACCTTTATTTCTTGATATTAAAATGATGAATTGCAAAGCTTTATTGACACTGGTCATGGGTTCCTAGATGGTGTATAAGAATCAAGAAAAAGTTGTAGCATGAGGTAAGGCAATAGCAAATTGTCAAATATTAAAATTAGAAGGTCTGTGGGAAAGATAATATGACGACAGCGGCTGTTTGCGGAAGAATAACTACAGGAAAATGATCCCTATAGCTAGATATGGCATTTATGACATCCAGGAAGACCCACCCCCCATTCTCGATCAAGTTATAGTCACACAACCTAAATGAGAATATTATACAACACTTGTAAAGGAGGAAAAATCAGAGGAGACAACCTCCAATACATAAAACAAACCAAAAGTTCCAATGCAATCACTACAATTATTATATTAAACTAACATAAAATAACCCTAATTTTAACTCAATGAGGTGACTAAAGACCCCTAAGAGGGAGCCGATCCGCTCTATGAGCGAGAAATTGAAATTGAGACTGTTTTAGTCCTCTAAATTTTGCCAAAGGCAGAAGCCACACCCTCGTTTCCTCCTAGGGCAAAAATCACGTCACTGTTCATTCTACCTAGGCGAGAAAGGCTTTACTTTTTGCACTGGAAGCATTTAGATCCTCATTCTATCACAAAAAAATCGTAACATTGAATGTAATAGAAATGTTATAATCTCAAAACAGATCAATATTTTGTGTATTATCATTGGTCTTCTTAACAATTCAAAATGGACCATTAGCTATGTCTTTGAGTTCTGCCAATGAAACTGCATAAAATTTCATTCGTCAATCTAATCTACGCCAAGTTGCCCTACTTGAAGCTCATAATCATTCTTTTGATACTTACTGTTTTACTTGATAATTTTTACCTCGCTTGTTTATGTTAAATTTGAATTTTTGACTTTGTCTTTGCTTCAATATTAAGCTTTGTGGTTGGAAGTATAGACACTAACTCTAATGATGTGAGAGGATTTTGCTCGTATATAATCTCAAAGGATTGTGACCTGTCGGCTCACTAGCGGACTTATTATATGTAAAACTGAGGGAAGATCATATCCCATTGAATGCTGCCTACAAAGCTCCTAAGGGTAGTTTTGAAGCTCTAATTCGCCTATCCATTTCTTTAATGGTGAGTTGTTGACTTGAACTGAAGTTTCGTATGAAGCTTTCTCCATAAAGTCTTTAAAAAATGGCTCAAATACTTCACATGTCTATTTGAAGTGATGGTATCGGGCACACCATGAATGTGACTATCTCTTTGAAGTACAACTATATAACTCTGCAATGTGTGATTTGATAATCTTGGAGAAATGGTTCACCATCATCATAACAGAATCTTTAGTCCATTGGGTCTATTAGAGAACCATAATGAAGTCCCTCTTTACATCCACTCAGGGTCATTCGGATAGAAGCGGAGTGTGTAGAACTATATTTTAACCACGGGTTGTAAGTAAGTGACATACCTTATACTATTGAATATGCCTCTACACATCTCACACCAATCTAGACCAACAGAAGATCTTTTTAACTAAGGAAAGAGCATTACCTCTGACAAAATTTTTTTCCACACCTTCATTGTGGCTTTTCTCTAAAATATTTTCTCTGAATGAACTAGGAATGCACAACTTATTCTGGAAGAGTATATATAATATGTGGTACTGCTGATAGGGTTTCTCTTAAAAATGGATCAAAATCTCCTAGAAGTTTTGATCAATGATATACATAGTGTCTAACACTTCAAAACCGACTATCTTGGATTGCATAATAGTAATCAACAAGAAATGGTGACCCCGTGAATCAACAACCCTAAATGGAGAACTCAAGAGACATGTTCGCTCTTTGGTTTATTTTGACTGTTTAAGAATCTTAGGGCCATGCGATCAGAATAGAGGATGAACTCATTAACCAGTAAAAAATAGCTCCAATTATTGAGGGTTCTTACAATGGGTTAAATTGGCTTGTTATAGTTGTAATACTTTTGCCCAAAGTTATTCAAGTTTTCACTAAAGAAGAGATGGAGTGCCCACCCCGACTCTATAGCTCAATTCCTATGGTAGAGTGATCCCGATTAATATAGTTGTGTAAAAATTATATAGTTGACTCCGCTATGAAACAGTGTCAAAAGCTTGATGCAATATTTTATGAATTAGAAATTTAAGCAATAATATTGGGATTCTACGCAAGTATACGTATCATTATCAAATAATAAAAAACTTTCTATTTAAGCCCCAAATATCTATCTCACGATGAATGTTTAAATTTGAAATGATAAATTTACTAGGAAATTCACAGAAAGTCAAAACGAAATTACTGTCACTAATTTCGAATGTTGAGATATTATCAGAACTAAATTATTTAACTACTAACAAAACTGAAATACAAACTTTAAACAGTAACTACTAAACTATTAAACTATGTTTATGTGATAAAAAATTCTTATGTGAAAAAACATCTTTCCTACTACAATGAGGTTTTGGTAAATTGAGATGAGATAAATTGTTCAAATATGTATTGTGCCAAATTGAAGCAGTTTTAATTCTCTACCCTGATACATTGTTATAGAAAATCAATTGGTTAGATCGAAAAGTAAATTAAGTTCGGAATTGAAAAATCATCACAATTTAATTTATATTTTAATATTGACACATCCATATTATCTTTTCATTTCACCATATCTCAGAGTAGAGAGAAAGATAAAGTAAACTACTCAAACTTCATGAGAAAGATATATAAAAGAAAGTTCATACAACACTAATAAACTAACAACACTTATCTGAAACTCTTTCTTTAAGCAAATCCTTTGTAGTCTCTTCTAGAAAATGAAGGAGAAAGAAATCTCTCACTTTTCTCCTTCTCCAACACTCTTAGAGAGAAGTTCACACTTAATCTCACCACAAAACTCTAAATTATAAGAACAATAGACTCTAAATAGTTGTGAAATGAAAAATGAAAGAATGTGTGATGCGTATAATAATGTGTTGTGTGGAAAATTGAATTGGGGCGATGGAATGGCAGGAAGAGTCACTTTTCTAATCAATTTTGGCCCCAAATAAAACTTAGAGTCGGTTCTCCAATAGGTGCCTCCAAAAACTCTTCAAAAAGTGTCCAAATTTGTCAAATTTTCTAGAAACGGGGGTTGAACCGACATTGACGCCGTCGGCGCCAGTGTTCCGCAATTTAATTCGATGCTCTCTGTCAAACGACGTCGTCGACTCTGAACAAATTTTCACTTCTTCATTTTTGCTCCAAATTTTATCATTTTTGTTTTAAGTCCTAAAATTTAATAACTTGTAAGAAAACATAAAATTATATTACATTAAAGTGCAATATCACAAAAAATGAGTATAAAATATGGGTCTAAAAATGCATATATCTTTAGTGTATCATAGAGGCATCACACTCAACCTGAAATACCTGATTAAAATGTAGAAAGGCCTAGAATGCATCGTAATAAACCCATACCCATGCCTTTCTGATCATGCAAATCTGTCTTTTTTAAGGAATACTGTTAGTGGTATTGCTATAAAATTAAAGTTTCTAATAAAGGTCTATCAAATGAAGTTAGTTTATGACACTGGCAGAAACCCGCAATCACTTGATCACGGGTCTTTCACTTTTGAAAACTTAGTTGTTAGGGCTAGGAATTGTGGTTGAAATAATTAGGATATGTTGAAGGTTTTTTTTTTTTTGTGGGGATGTTAGGTTAGGTTGTTTGGATTGTTTGTTTGCAAGAAAGAAAGAAAAGTCCCTAAAATTCTAGAGTTTGTTGAGCTTTGATAACAGATGACACCGTTCTGAGGCTCTTAGAAGGTGTTTAGAAACAAGATTTAGTGAGAATGTGATTGTGGGATAGCAAGGGAAGAAGAATATGATTGATCGATGACATGTTGAAGGGGATAAGCGATGTTCAACGGCTGTCCTAGCTGAAAATAGCAAATCAAAGGGCAAACAAAGAAGTACACGCGATGAGAGAGGTCAACCACCTATTCATGAGCAAACTACCAACACATCACTTGCAAAATGAAGAGAATGCAACATTTAAGAGAGCAAAAAAATCAGACAAGAAACTCTAAAATACATAAATTAAAAGCTAAAGTTTCAAAATAGTAAATACAACAAATTAATAGGATCCTAATAAAAAATAACCCTAATTAGCAATAAATAAACAAGAAATAAAGGGGACAACCAAAAAAGGCAAAATTTCAAGTTGACGTAGTGAACGAGATGACAAACCTTTGACTTGCAATCCTATTTTAGTTGAAACTCTATTCGAGAGAAAATGCATAATACTGCCTACGAGAAGTTCTGAGAAAGATGTCCATGAACTTACTAAGGAGAATATGTAGTGAAAATTTCTCCAACTACATGAAAGGCTTATCACCTTTGAGAGGAGACATCTTAGAGTGATCTTCCATAGTCACAACGGTGACTTATCAGATTTAGAGGAGGAAGTGAATCTCTTTCATTAGGAAGTTTCCAGTAATGATTTAATAAACCGACAATTTAACATTGAATATTAAAGAAGCTAGGATTTTGGAGTGAAGATCGACTTCCCGGATTTTGATGGTCTCATGGATGTGGACAAGTTTATCAAGTGGCTTCAGATAGTGTCGTTGAGTACTTAACATAATAGTGAAGCTAGCCGCTGTTAAACTAAGGAAGGTGCTTCCATGTGGTGGTAGAACATGAAGCTCTTTAATGACGGTAGGAAAGGATAAGATCACCATACGGTATTATAGATGAATGATACAACACAAATATGTTCCCATGTATTATCGACATAATGTGTTCATAAATTTTACAATTTGCACTGGAAAGATTCTGTTGTGAAAGAGTAAGCTGAATTTGATCAACTAATGCTAAAATGTTAATTGGTGGAACTAGAGGAGCACACAATGATGATGTATACTGGAGGACTGAGGCCACCTATAAGTAATTTGTTGCAGATGCAACAGTA